TTCCAAGCTTCTGTGAAGATTTACAAAAAGCATGGCAAAAGGTCAGTGCTCCTGCAGAGATGTTAATTTGAATTTATACAACCATATCGTATTCATGTAGCACTAACACCTTTTGAAGGCTCTGCGAAGAATGGGAACAGGAAAATAACCATAACGAAAGTAAGTGATCAATCAAGTTTCCGTCGTATTCAGAGTATATTTATGTTTCATTCCTTGAATATCTAACTCCAACTAGCTGAAATCTTATTAGCATAGAATGTAAATGAAGCGTTTGAATAACAATCGTCTACGCAATGCAGAATCGTTCGAAATCGCAAAACGTCCTGGATAGCTGAACGATCTGCCAATATCAATCAAGTAACAGCCGCTGATGACGTAGTATTTCAGTCCACATCGGTTGAATCTATGCCTCGTTATCCTTAATAACAAGGAAATTTTACTTGCTTGACACTTTAAATGTGCTTACTATTGCTTTTCGTAATCGATTGTTGGTTTTTATAAAAAAACGTCTCTCCCTTAGGAAGAGTCAATTTTATCAATAAATCTATCAATCACCCGACAGGCCAGGTATTACCATCTTCCCTTAAATAATTAAAAGTTATTGAGGAATTAACTTGAAGACTTACTTGCATGCATACAGTCCGTCATCTTTGGATTTTCGCGGGTTAACCACACTTAAGATTTGACTGGACCAGTCCACCGTCGTTCGCAAATACTTGATTCCCCCTGACTGATTACTAGACAGATCAATAGGCTCGCTGTCCGAAGCGCCTCGATACCAAACGACTACCACGTCATCCGGTTGAATTCCCAGGTCAGCTCTCGTAAAAGTATTGGTAATCAATATGGTCGAGATATTGCATGTCATGTGACCGGTCAGTCCCTCACGTGTGCGTTCCCTTAGGATGCCTTCCTCGGGTTTAGCTTCCAGAAATTCTTTTTTGGGGAAAATGATAAAATCGGAACAATTTGAAGAAACAGAGACTGATACTTATCCCATAGGAGAATTTTGTAGGTAGAAATGAATAAAAAAACAGTAAACAGGTTTATTCGAAAATATAAACTGATATATTAAGAGACAGATGGGTAAATAGATGTGGTTGTTATATATTGAATATGCTGAACATATGTCTCTCGCCATTTTGATTTGACCCAATTCATGCTTTTGAGATATACTATTACACTAAATTAAAAACAATGCAGCATTGCTTTATATTGATTAATATACTGATATATTATCATATTATCATGTTGTTATTATTATCATATTATATTGATCAGAAATACCATGTTGAATTAGTTACCTTGAAATTTAAGATAATCACCGAGTTATGCGATACAAATCTGACATTCTAACCATTTGGTGTGCGTCTGATAAAATGATTCTTACCATTCGACACCGAACAAAAATCAGCGGACATCCAATTGAAATATGGAGAATTAACGCTTTACCTGCATAAAGTGTTCCCCGTCTTCATTTGTGTAAGATAGTTTATTAACACTCGTAAATGTTCAAACCTCGGACAACTGTTCGATTTCATCAATTTTTTTGGTTGCATATAAATGAATGTATATAGGAAAATTAACAGTATCGCGTATTGATGATGAGACAATAGAAGGCAGCAATGCAACATGTTGTATAGTGGCAGCATTTTTGTATATACGTTGGTCTTTGCGTAATAACCATGTACTTCCCAGAATAACTTCTTCGAAACATTAAACATCATAGTTTTGGTCAATTTGAATACTTAGGATACCTTAGTTTTTTCCGGTAGAATATGAGGACAGATGTTTACCAACTGGTGACACTAAAATCTATTGTATTGTATATATTGTAAACCACACTAGCTGAAAGTGTGTTGTATATACCATTGGTATACATAAGGGTGATGGTGGACCTCATGGTAGGAGGTTCAAACCACGCCACTGGAATCCAACTTTGTTGTTAGACAGCTTCAATTGTCGTCCGGCTTCAAACCACCTTTCACCAATCGCAACTCCAAGCCCCGGAGCTTGGATTGCCGGTTTGCATTGCTAGACAATAATTTTCAAGACCATGGGGTTTTCCAGTCAGCCGTTCGTCACACAAGGGTGTGTAATCAAATCAACCGCACTACGTAATTATCCAACAAAACGCGGCTCGAGACAATTTTATGTGACACCAATGGGAAATACAAAAAATATTGGATGACCGTTTTTTGTTATGACAGTCGGTTGACAGTCAGCCAGTTAACCAATGAACTAATCAATCCGTCAAGTAATTTTCAAGAGAACAATTCATGCCTCTATTTGTGTATTGATTTATCAACATAAACTTACACAAACGGTTATTTTGAAGAAAAAGCTTTGACACTGTTAAGATGTTCAGATGCAGGTGAGTGTGATCGGCCAGTTCGTCAAAGAACAATCATCTATTCCTTTACTTTGGGATATAAACGTTTAGTATTGATTTTATGGCGTTGTAAAAGGGCTAATGCTATCTATAGCCATTGTCCAACAATCATATGCATCTGATTCGATTAAAAACCAGGTAAACGAAAGGACTTTGTTTCAATAAGGTTTTACTTTCAGTATATGCAGTCGCCAACATAACTGAATGCTTTTACGATTGTTCCTTTCCGAAAATCGACGTATTACTGTCCGTCATTTCATTGTTGTGAAAATAAATTAGGACAAGCAAGAAGATATTTTTCACTAGGACATGGGGAATTGAAAAATTGAATTTCCCTTGCAATTCCTCTACGGTAGAATGCACACTTCCATTTTCCCAAATGGTTTGTTTCGGGGTTTCGCTTAACATTATCTGCGACATAATCTAAGAAGATGTCAGTAATTTGAACAGGTTTCTAGAGATATCTTTTATGTTGAAATCATTCGCAATGTGTTTTGCGTCCAATTCAAGCTGCGTTTTATTAGCAGAAAATGTACGTGTAATTACTGTTTTCGTTTTGTAATTCTGTAAAAGAATGAAATCGTAAAACATCTATCAGTTCTGAATGTAACTTTTATGAAAGGGAATTATTGAAGTTTTTACGTATAACCTTTGAAGCAACATTCTGAGGAAACCAGAAGAACGATGACTTAGTAATGAAACTACTGATAAAAATCAAATAATGGGAGCCTATGAGGTAAAAGATGGATATAGATTTAAATTTGTTAACTCCGAGGTTTCGACCGAGCACACACGCTGCGTGCTGCCACTCATTCTGAATATTATTTAACTAAAAGTTGACAGTGATCCAATCAACATTCGGATGAACATGGAAAACAAAGCCTAAGTGGGGCCGCAATAAAAAAAACTGTGTGGGCCTCAACCCACAGCAGATGAACACCTCTGCATACTCTCCACCTCAACTCAAACTTAGGTCTAGTATTCATATTTCCATCTTGAAGTTTCGCATGTCAATTCTGGTCAGGTGCGGGCAGAGCTGATGTACCTCAAAACATCAAAAGCTCCCGGTCCCGACGGACTATGTTCGGTCTTCCTGAGGGAATGCGCGTATTATCCAGTTGAGCCACTTGCCGATATTTTCAATCTTTGCTTCGAGGAACAGACAAATGCTGACTGCTGGAAACCTATGCGTATCACACCAACCCCGACAAAGGATGCCGGAAAATTGCGACCAATCGCCAGGTCTTCTGTTTTAATAAACATTTTCGAAACATTTATGCTCAGTAACATTATTCCTAACACTGGGCAGCTAGATAACAATCAGTTCCCTTATCGCAAACAACGTTCTAACTTGGACACCCAAACGCATTTGGTAAACTCAGTTTCGCGATTCCTAGACATGCAGTGCACAGCATTTCATGTGTAGTTCCTCGACTATAGTAATGCTTTTAACTGTGTTGACAGAAGCACTTTTTTGTCTCTACTCTGAGGTGCTGGATTGTCACATACTACTCTCTCTCTCTCGATGACAAGATTATTTTGCTGGTGGAAAACAATTCACGGAGTTTCTTGGAAAACCCTTGACTCCCTATCGCTCAATTTAGGGGTGCTCCAAGGAACAATTCTGTCGCCTTTACTTTTCTCTTTTCTATGCTTGATACCTACCCACTGACCCAGATGATCTTCCGATTAAATACGCTGATGATTTTCGTATTCCGAGGTGATTTCCGCTTAACGCGCCTTAAAACCACTTTATCTGTTTTAAGCTTATGATTTCCGTCTCCCAAGTTATCTCTCAATACTTTTAAATCTAGATTTGTTACCTTCTCGCTAGCCAAAGGAAAGCGGCTGTATTCTTTTGAAAGGAATAGTTCTGTACTTTATGTTGACGACCAGTCTGTTTCGCCGGCACCTTATCTGCAATACCTCGGTTTCACTAGCTCCCTCACTTGAAATTCACATTTGAACTCTACTTTTAAAAAGATTGGACGTTTATGTTCCTTTATTTCCCGGTTGCGCTCTTCAAACGTCCTACTGTGTTTACTCACCCTGGTTGTATATTTTGTTGTTGTTACTCATCTCCTCTGCTGCTCCCTCAGTTTTATTTGCCGCTGTTAGAGTTAACGATTCCACAATTCTACGCCGGTCTATTAAAAGTATTTCTCATACAAGCGGTAGTCCCTATTTGCAATCGCTTGACTTTATCGCCAACAAACATTTTGCCTCTTGCTAAAACTGCTGCAAAAAATATTCTGTGACATCACTCACACCTTACAAACAGAACTTGATCAATGCGCATCCATTTATGTAACTAGATGTCGTTCAAAACTTGTTAATGCTGGTACCACCGCCCATCGTTTGTCCCTAACCCTCTATATTTCGAGATTTCTGGCTCAAAAGGCATCCCTTAGAGAAAACATTTTGAACTTCCTACGCAATCGCTATCCACTTTCACAAACTTTTACGCCACAGTCCTTTGAATTTACGATGGTGTTTTTCACATTTTCCCTGTGACTGCATGCGATGATAAATGATCCTGATATGCAAGAAGCTGAAAATTCATCCATTAGAATGAATAAAGCGATTTTTGACTTGACTTGACTTATAGCACCATATTCACTGATCAATGCGAGAAAACCGGGGTCTCCGTGCCGAACCAACCTCTTCGGACGGAACCGAGATAGGAAACAGGCAGTCAGAGGCGCGATTACCTGACACATCAACAAAATGCAAATAGACCTCCGTTACTTTTTACTTACAATATTAGACTGACTGACTGCTAAAAATCAATCAACTAAATCTAGACCAGCTCCAATTCTTTAATATTTGTATTTATCAGGTTAGCAAAGATTTGCAAAGTTAACCATTAATTTATCCGCTGTTCCATTGCTCGTTCAAGCATCATCAATTTTTCCCACTCTCTGATCCCGAATAGGTGATTTCTCTTCGGATTCATTTTTTATGATTGCTTAATTTTCCTAGGTTTTGACTACTTTTACCCTATTCATCCTGACGTGAAACCATTTGCTCGCTTGTTTGAAGTGTTTGTGGAATTGTTGTTATTACCTGTTGTCCATGTATTTGTTGAGAACACTCCTACTACAACCAATTGAAGGGAACTAGTCATGGTAAGCAATAGATTTGATTGGAAAGACATCGACGCTCTCTGTCTCTGTCTCTCTTGCTAGCTGAACATGAGTTACGTCCTTTGTTACGGCTGTTCAATAGGATGGATTGACGGAAGAACCCGATCAACCGGTAATGCTTCTCGAACCCTTACTGTGTAGTAACCAATTCCTAAAGATGCCCAGGAGCTTGTACGGAACAGTGAATTACCGATTCTAGCTTCTGCTAATTTAGGTACACTGCTGAAACATAAAATTGAGCGATTCAGCTACGAGTAGTTTTGGAGTTTCAAGTTATGAAAATCAGTCAGTGAGCGCCACAGAAGGTTTTAAAAGAATAACTTAACCCGAAGGAGGTCAGACGCGGCAGTTTCTTTCCCATTGCATTCAGATCACGGGTGATGTTAAGAACACTGCCCTGAATTTGGCTGCGGTGAAGGTGAGATTTACAGATTACGGTGAGTGTAATAATTTTGGGGGGTGGGTGAGTATCCCCTAAACGACATTCCTATTTATAGTGCCTTCTTTGGGACGCAGGTGGGGCCTTCCGTTTTCGGGGTAGCTAAAGATTCTTATCAACATATGTTTCCGGATGAAAAATGTCTTTCAACGTACACGTTTTCATGTGTAACAGTTCATGGGCGGTAAAGTAGGGGTAATCGCCTAAATATTAATTTCTAAATATGTGAAAAACGGAAACACAAAGCAATTTTGCACAAACGTCTATCCACAAGGTTAACCGGTTGAACTTGTGAGGCAAACCAGGATGGGTTTGTGATTGCTGAGCATAAAAATTGAATCTACCGAGGGGCGGGGGTTAAAACACAAGGCTAAATGGAAATTAAAGAACAAGGGTGGACGAACCAGATGTATTTTACTTGCTGACATGCGTAATATGAAGCTTGCAAAATACCACCAAGAAGAATGTTGGAGAATGCAAAATGTTGGAATACTTGCGTCAAAGCTACTGAAAGAAAGTAATCCTTTTACTCTGAACTATCAGTGATATGTTGCTGCCGTTTGTCTGACGCTTCTGGCTGATACCACCGCCTTTAACTCACTTGATCGTAGGCTGTTCGTTCAGGTTTTACAGTTGCTGACCTACATACTGAGAGACTACAGGTAAAATAAGGCAGTTTTATCAGCTGGTTTAAAGTCAGATACGTGGTACGGCCTGTGAAGTTCAGCTATATATTGACTGGTTTAGTGCATCCGCATTAGCGAGGATATTAAGCAGGTTTTGAACAGGTGTACAGTGTTTTACAGTATTTCAATTTCTTACTTTATTTTTGCCCTGGTAAATGTTAATTAATAGTTTCTGGGGCAAATAGGACTTTCGGTAAAAACCGTCGACAGTGTAGCTCAAGGGTGAGGGTTTGAAGTTCCAGCCTGAAGAAAATTAATGCTCACTGTGGAAACAAAGTCATGTTCTAGGAGACAGTATCCGATAACATACACCGTATGACGTGTTTCTGCGGAATCCAGGCAATCTTAATTCAATAAGTTTTGTTTTTTAGTATCACGGTCTCCAAGAATTGGTTAAAGTCTTCTGAATATTTTTGCGTCTTCATAAATTTCTTATTGATTCCTCTTTAAACAGTACGTACAAGGTTGCTGACATGCCTGGGAGAAGCATTTCAATTTTCGATTCAGCTATCTACTTAGAGTTTCTGTGACCCGGAAGCAATCCCATTTTTCACCACGGTTAGCGTTCAAACTGTTATGAAGTTTTGTGGATATAAACACCACGCGGCATGTTTCAGTTTGTGTCATTTATTGATAACATTCAGACTGTCAGAACCCAGTATATACGCACATCTGTTGAACAAGCAAATAGATAGGAATTATTTGGTGTGGCCATAGCGTTTAGGCGAGCCAAAAACTGTGATTGTGTGTTTTATTGACGCATAAAGATATGAATACTGAAACGTTTGTGAAATGGTTTCATAAAAGCAGTCGGAACAAGCCCTAGGTTGAAAAGAACGCTATTTGTGAGCAACTTAAACACAATGATCATAGAATAAAGATTGGAATATTAAATTACTTTCACAGCTTACCTTTATATTGCTGAGATTCACTTCCCAGGGTGACTGCGCTGGCCACGGTGGTCCACGCACCGGTATTATCCAGTGTCCAGCACTGATAAATGCCTTGATCGTAGTTGCTGACATTGATGATGTGTAATCGTGTAGCTGAGAGGATAAACCAAATACACGCACCGGATCATTCTTGTCAGAATTGAGGTTCATCAAATTCGGTAGAATTCACTCATTTGTCTTTATATTTTGAGAAATTTGATTATAGTGATGTGGCTTGTAAGGATAAAATTATGTGACAGTTCTTTTTCAAATGCAGTAACAATGTTAAAAGAAAGCCAGTTAGTTATTCAGATATTTAAAACTTGTAGATCACACCTTACTATTGCAAATAAATGGAAAAGCTGTTAATTTTCTTGATTGTTCCAAAGTTTCCAAACTGGGCTACTTAATCACAAAGTTTATCTTTTCAGTGGACTTTCGTGCTCAGTTCTCATGATGCAGGGCGCTTACGCACACATGGACAAACATTCACTGCGGTCTCTTATCTCAATAAACCGGTGTACGGCAAAAACAACACAGAAAAAAAAACACGCAAATACCAAACTAAAGAATGTTGTTATGGTCATGGAATGCTATACTGCTTTACAACCTAACTCTCCCTTGTCTCGTGGTGCATCAGAAGACAGAGAAGTAGCATTCGGGACTGTAAATCGGTGGTCAAACTCGATTACAACCTAATTAGGGTGCAATTCATATTTTTACACCATTTCCAAATTAATAAATCATAATTAGGTATTATTTCGTGGAATATTTGGGGCTTACTGAGCATGCAGAAGAAAATCAGTATTCAAAATGTGAGAGGAAAAATTGAAGCATTTCCAGTATTCAAATTGAATGAAAAGATCCCAGTCTAAAAATGTAAACGTATAAATTTGTTTAGTTTTTTGGAATACTGAAGAAAATAGAGAGATGTAAGTTTTACTTAATAAAATTTTCGTTCCATGGAACTGGTGAATTTGTAGAATTTGGAGCACGTGAATTCTGTGTGTTCATGAAAGCTTTACATTTAATCATAGTTATTCAAAGTACAGAGAAGGTTATTCCGAAATATTCTGCCATCCTCTTCGACAAATTTATTGTACTCGGAGTTATAATTTTATTGTTGATACGTTCTGACTACAGTTGAAGGTCTTGAAGAAGTCTTGAAGTGTTTGTAGTTGGATTTAAAATTCATGATTGTTTGTGTACCCAGACCGTGGTGTGGGCATTGCATTAAATTTCACACCTTAAACGGGCTGAGCACAAATATTTTGGCATATGACCATAATGGAATGTGATTTCCGATGGTTGATCTTATATTGTAGCACAGCATGTAGTTCGGCTCACGCTTGAAAATCCAGTGTCGGGTAAAAACTAAATGTACAGACCTATTTAATCTTGTGCACATTAAAATGCTTCAACCCGTGAGCGTTTGGTTTTCCCATTTTTTTGGTGAAATCAATGGGTTCTCGCCTGAATCGTAACAAAGAACTCAGCCGCCTTGAATCACGTTGATGCTTCTCAAAGCACCAGTGAGATGCGATGAGACCACCCTATTTTAATTACCAATGCTCTGTTGACCTTTCAAGTCAAGTCAAGTCAAGAGTACACTTTATTCATCCAATGTCGATAGCATTTTCAGTGAAAAGAATATCACTTTTGCTTTGGCATACGCACTATTAAAGATGAGTTTGAAGATATAACAAATAATTACTTAGGTTATAATGAATCGGACACCGAGAACGCGTAAAAAAATAAAGAACTGTTTCAGCGTGGAAATTTCCATTAGACTGCGTATAATTGCTCTTGATATTCTTTCCATGGAATCCAACAAACGTGAAAAGTAAGGTACAACAGGGTTGTGAAAAGCAGTGGTACGAGTTTATAAAGGTTGACATTTATTGCGGGTGACAAACGTTGAAATGTAGTGAGATAGGATTGTGCGTAAGGGATGTGAATTATCGGAAAAAATAGAGTCACACAGACGGTCACACGCTTTTAGGTGTTGATTGACCAGCTCATCAAAAGATACAGCTCCGTATCTAGAGATGCTTTTCAGAGAGCGTCTAATAAGTATGAAATCCTTTGACAATAAACCGGGACAGATAACAGGAGAGCAGTAGATCCAGTGGCACAAAAGGAATGAGAAAATAAATTAGGAGATGATGTACAATGGCATCCTTAAATGCTGAAGGCGTGAAATATAAAAGGTTAAATTCTTGACTTCGAGAAATGTTTGTTCTACGTCATAGGGACATTTGAGGTCAGCATATATGGAGCATCCAAGATATTTGAAGTGTTGTGACCTTTCAATTTTTAAGTTATTGATTCAGATATTGAGAACAGACGATCCGGAAAGTGTTGATGGCCTACGGTCAATGTAAAACAAACCTGCAATATATTTCCTAGGGTTTAAGGAAAGGTTAACACCATCGGACTATTCAGAAATGGAACTTACGGCTGATTTAAGGAAGTTAGTTGAAGGGATGTTGTTGTGAGATGCACCACCAACTATTATTTCTTCAGCATATTTAAAAGTAAAAACATTTGGGGTGACTGGTAAATTTTGGATATGAAAGGCGAACATAAAAGGGGATAAAATTACACCCTGCATTACACCTTGGTTTAAAGTAACAGTAGAAGACCTAGTACCACTTAGACAAGTGAATTGGCGTCGGTTGGTAAAATAGTCGTGCATCCAATTCAAACGATGTGGCAGGAGATTGTGTTGCCGTAAGAGTGGCAATAGGATGTTTCTTTCAACAAAGTTAAACGCGTTTGTGTAGTCCAAGAAACAATCGTGAATAATTTTGTGTTTTTCGTCTATAATGAATAAAACAGAATGTATAAAATAAGCAACCGCATCCAGCGTAGAGTGACACTTAGAATAAGCAAATTAATGGGAAACAAGAAAATCAAGGTTAGAGGATAGATGCTTAATAATTATTTGCTCAAAAGTTTTAAGCAGTACTGAAGATGAAGCAATAGGCCGACACTTACCCTTTTATTTCTTAGGTATTGGAGTGATTCGAGCATCACGCCATGTGTCAACTAGTCTACCTTCTGACAGACACATATTACAGATGAATGAAACGGTTTGTGCTAAGTGAGGATAATCCATCAAGACCAGCGGATTTTGACAGCATTTAACTCCTTTAAAACTTGCTCTGTTGCGACAAATATAGGAAGGTGCAAATCAAGTGACGTTGTTTTTGGACTCAGTTTAGCTTGCACAACGTTTTTCACTAAGTAAAAAGATTTGTTGAGCTGATTGATATCGCACGAGACTGTATAAGGTGAAGTTGAACGACCACAGAGCAACTTCAGCCAATTTAACGCTTTACGGCAAGATTTGTCTCCCGACACGGTGTCAGCATACAATTGATTGAGATGGGCGATCTCGCTTCTGATATGAAAGTTGACAAATTTGACCTTCAGGTTATCTCTCCCTTTCTTTCAAATTACGTAACCATTTCAGCCTATCAGAGATGAAGCGGATGGGCTGCAGGTGTATCCTTTAAGGAGGGCGGAACACATCATAACCAAAGTTGAGATAATTGGTAAGGTTCTCACAGAAGACTGAAATATCAGGATTAGAGGGTTGTCGTAAATCCGAACCGGTAACCATGGATTCCATCGAATTGGCCGGATGATTTTGTCGCGGACATATCTTACGTGCATTGTTCTTCGTCAGGATTTAAAGCTTGCATTAACCATCTATTTTACGTAAAACTTTAATCTGACAATGATCGAAAGTACCTACTGGTGCACGTTTAAAGGCACTGAAAAAATGGTTCGTTAACGAAAAAGTGGACCAAGGAGGCACCATTTAGATTGGAAAATGTAACATTATTCTGAAGGAAAATAAGTGAGTAAAAACTCACATCCGATCTGTTGAAACCGCCCGCAACGATAAGTACAGATGTGACAGATTTCTCCAACATGATTGGATAGCATATATTCAGGAAGTTAGACAACTCACTAGGAGTACAATCGGGAGTGATGTATACCTTTGGAAACATGATCGAAGAGTGACGCAGGAGAAAAGATAGTTTGCATTTCACAGAAATACAAGAACAATACCTGCATTTACATTCGTGCTCACGCATGGTAATGTACCTCTATTCATGTGGGAGAACTAGCATCAGTGTGTTTGAGAATGAATTTGAAGTAACCGCAGGTTACTGGCATAACAGCCCGTCGCTTGGATGAAACAGTAATTATATATACTCTAAGTGACCAAAATCATAAAACCAAGGGATACACTACATGATCTGTTGTAGCGATCGGCCATCTAATACAATCAAGAGACCACAATGAAAGATAGTTTTTTATCTGCGGATAAATCGTTTTGCGACATATCCATCACTTAAGCAGGATTGGGCCATTTTCGGATACTGTTCCAAGGTGAGTTTCGATCATCTGAGGTGTGTAGTGAATAATGGTTGGCAAGTAAATTAGTTATATTGATTTAGAATGCACGAAGAGTAACATGGAAACACGAATACAAAAAACGAACTTTTATTAGTAAAACCAAACCGTAGTCCTCAGGAAACTAAATTGACCCCCTCTGCTACCTTTCCNTCGATACCGAGAAAGTTATAAAAAGACATGCCTCGATGTGCAAAAATTGGGCTAAAGGAAAATCGTTACCAGATGTCGTTGAAAAATTCATTTGTTCGAATACAAAACACACCGCGTGGGTGATAAACCTTGTTTTTTCAATCATAGTCAGCCTGGTGGATAAAAAAACAGATTTTTATGATGTCAAAATGCCACAATATCCAATTTTCGGACAGCAATAAAAGTACTCATCCACCATGCTTATCCTCACCACCAACACCACTATCTACTTCCAACCCTCGGTTTTCAGAAGCTTGAAATTTCCCACAAAATCCATCACTTCCCTCTACGATTACACTACGCTTGTGCTTGAATCACGTACGTTGGATCACGTCGTCTCGAATATGGGGCAAAACGAGCAAGAGAGAGGGAGCGTAACATGAACATCTAACCGGAGATCATAAGCAAGCGATTGATAAAGCGACCGGTAAAAAAAGGAAACTCTCGCCATCGTGATCAGTGTGTGTGCGCGCACTCATTGATGAATGCTCTGTGTGAACACTGATCATCGATGAAGAAAACAGTTATTAATGGGATTTTCTCTGTTGGCCTAAAAATACGTGCTCGGAGGATGATGCAAACAACTGCAGGAAGGAAAGCAGCAAACAGGCTCAGGGAGCTAAACGACGCTGTTTAATAATGTACCGTCTATTCTACTGCTGCTACTGATGCTGGTGATAATGGCGATTTGAAACGGCCTCTGGGGCCTCCTTATAAACAAATCACACCAGATCTGATTAGTCAAACACTTGCATTTTGCACATTCTTGGTTGTCTCTTTTCCGTGCACCATAATCCACGTTCTCTGTCTGTTTGGTTAGAGTTGCCATGCCCATATCTCATCGTGCTTTCCTCATTATATTCGAAAATTTGCTTACACCATGTATTGTTTGTCAGGCACAATCACTGGTTTTGAGACCTGCTTCACTCCTCAATGCTACGAGCTGTTTTCTTGCTTCACGCATTACTGGCTGGCCTTAACCGCCTACGAACATCACATGATGTACTTTCTTGGTATCGTTCCGTCTCGTTTCTATTTGTTTATCCGATTCGATCTTGCTTGCCTAATAACCCCTTCTGACTATGATTCACATTATTTTCTTTGGATTGAGTCTACTTCTATGCTCACCAATTATAGCCCTTCGTTGCCCGGCTACTGTGATTAGTGATTTCTGTCCCTTCATTGTTCAATCATAGCCGCTACAGATAAGTTGGTGCCTAATCCGCTTGCATATCTGAAACTGGAGTGTCTCCTAATTCCAAGTACCTTTTGGTGGTATTTCATTCGCTCCTTTAGTGCACGTATACAAACCTGGATATCGGATTTGAATCTAGTGAACTAAAGTCGGAAACAAGGCTGATTATGACTAAGAAGAGGTGGTGATGCTGCTGCTGCTGATGATGATGATGATTCAAATACTAACTTAAAGAATGATCTCCATGATGAAGTCATGGATTTTGATACTGATGGAAGGGAACATAATAACGATGAATAATCAAGGGATTACTCCGTTTTTTATGACTATCACTCGTGAGTATAACATCAATCATGCTAATAATTGACAATGGCTAAAGTATGTTCTCAACATGCTGGAATCCTATTTTCACGAATCGCTCATTTTCAAATATGTCCGTTAAATTTTGTTCTATATTCTGCAAAATGTGCTTGGGAGTTTTCTTCACCGCAAAGTTTTTTAACTGAGGGAGTAAATTCCTTGTAGTTGAATAGATACATTCATGATGTGTATATGCTGTAATGGAAAAGGCATCAATTAGAGGGTTATTATGCGGTTTAAAGCCAAGGGGGATAGTTAATCGATTCAGTTGAGGTTTTACAACAAGAATCCCGGGGGGTATAACTAGTGACCTTGATTCCTAAATGAACTTGCTGCTTGATTTCGATCTGTGCACCCGATTTTACTGAGCGCCCAACATAATGTGGATAGTTTTTCTATTCCCATTGCACTAGTATAATACAGTTCCTGTTTTTTACATCCTCTACGTTTGGATTCATAATTCAATGTAAATATTTTGGTGCCGATTCTCCCCTCTCATTATTGTCAAGACTGTAAGAGTTTGGTCCTAATCGTTTCCCTAAAAGTCTGCTGACTACTGTCAACTATATCGGTAAGCTAACGATGATAGTTATGCGGTTCCCCACTGGTAGACAGAATGACTGACTGCAATTGACACATTGACTGAAGTGACAAAGTGATTGCTTGATTGACTGTTGACCTGATTGACGAACTGAATGTCTGGATCTATGATTGACTGACTGAATTGTTGCAATTCCGATTGATTGATTCATTGAACGAGAGAGAGGCCAGAAGAAGAAATATTGCATAGAGTAGCAAGAACTTACATTCACTGGTGGCTGAAAATGCAAAAGAAAAAATCGTAAACAAAAATTAGCATACCATTTACTTTTGTAAAACACATCACGTTTTCGGTAATATAGCGTAAATGAGGTTCAAGTCCGTTAGAACCAGCTGACGTTTTGTGTTTTCAAACGTAGGATTGACCAAAAAAGACACTGATTTACGTCAGATTAACAAAAATTGGGCATATTCTATTGCAGAAATTCACCCGGAATCGGTATACGAAAGCAAATAATTTGGACAGTTTTCAAATTTCCGTTGGATGCTTAACTGGTCTTTTCACCTTAGGATAGAATAATAACCCCTTGATTTCCATCTTTAGAACCTCATGTTTTTGCGCATCTCTCTTAGTTTACCCTGTCATTTTCACCGCTAACTATACCAAAGATGCAAACTCTGTCCATTGACTATTATTAATTACCAAGCAACAACGTACATTTATCAGAAACAGTAAATAACTCCTATAACCAATCATGAGTCTGTTTTATTCATATCAAGCGAATCCAAAGCACAGTTCCACTGAACAGTGAAAGCCGTGTTTTCCAATTGAAATTCGAAAAAAACTGAGAACGAAACATTTCAACAAAGAGAGCAGCTAATAAATTCTCGTCATCTCAATGTACATGCAGGTGTTGACCAAGCTCGTGCAAAGTGAATCTCATTTTATAAATACATTTCAGTTTGTAGCACTATACTTTTATATAAATGATTACGAGTCAGGTGTATTAATTCCTTAATTTATCTCCCACTTTTATATTCTCAGTTTACTTCTATCACCGTTCAAATTTGCGCGACCTCGTGTGTTGTGCTAAAATGTGTAGTATTTCTAAAGTTTCCGATCAGATTGGAACAATATTTTATGCAGAGCAGCTTGGAATTTATTTTTTCTAATAAATGATTTATGTTTCATCAAAGTGCTTATTTAGCTAAAGACCAGTAATCTAAATAATTTATCCATTTCCATTAAATGCACGGTAAACAAGTCACTAAATTGGTAAATTATTTAGCTACATACTACTCACTTATCATCCGTGGTACTGAAAGAACTAAAAATATACTTTCAAGAAAGAAGCAAGTTGACCTTCGGAGTTTGACCTTGATGCGTGCGTCTAGTGTCATCATGTCCAAATCGAAGGGATGCTTAAAGATTCTTAGCATACAGTTGAAGCTGAATGGGAACTTATTCGAAAGCCGCATTATTCTGACTACTCAGTTCCTGAATTTTGCAAGCGCTTTGATGTGAACATAAGCCTAATTTATTGCATAAGCAACGAATTTTTTCCATCATGAAATAAACAGAAAACCGATCATAGCGAAAAAAGACAAAGACTGCATTTGATTACAGCGAATAAAAGTTGCCCACAACCAATATGGAGAATAAACCAAGTAGAATCCTTGTTTTCTCCTTGCGCTACCGTGTGGAAAATAATGGTTCGACTTGAAATGCAGCTGAGGCCACTTGATATGAAGCAGTTATTGAACGCCAAACAAAGCAGAGCAGGTGTGGATTTCATCAACAAATTTAAATCGCGTTGCCCGTCCATTGGGCAATTGGTTTATCTCGGTCGTGACAAAAGAGCAATTTATCGGGAAAGAAAAGCTGATCTGCTGACAACGAATGGACCTAAACGTTTTATGATAATTTTATGATAATTTTCTCCATATTTGGTGAAGAGTTTCACTCCATAAGAAGTAAAATGAAAGCGCTTTTGCAAAACGTTCAGTATTTGATGATTTAAATTGTTTCACTTTAATAAAAGTACTAGTGTATTCACCACAAGCGTGACGGAGTTGAAACTTGGGTTGATATCACAGGTGAGTTTTTCTATCGATTTCCTCACCTTCAATGAATACCTTTCCGTATTTCTGTTTGATTTCGATACTCTTCCCGTTGTGGTACCAGCCCAAATCCGTGCCCAATTGAAAATGACGAAAGTCAGATATGGATTCGCTGGATGGTAACTGCATTGAGGCGGAATTGGTTGATGAAACCTTCGGACCATTCTTCATTGCATAGCTGCAACTCAGAGAGATATTCTGTCCAACGCCGACAGTGATCAACGGGCCTGGTTCCATCACCAATTCATTGCGATCTAAAATATGTGGGCAAATTGTAGATGAACAGTCGACATTTGAATGTTATATTCTCGATCCATGATAAAAACATTTTCTAAAGTTTTATCAAACTTAAGTATCGATGGTGGAACAAATTTTTGCCGGTAATGTAAGCCCGTTTGTGTGAAACGTAATTATATCGAAATTTCAAACTTGCGAATTCGGTTCATAATATAAAAGCCAATGCCTCGTAGTGACGCGATAACTTCGTTTATGTGAAAGAAAACATCCAAGAATTAGTTCCTGCATAATTCGTGATTGTCGTTGTAAAATCAGTTCACTAAATAATTCAAAATGATCATGGTCATCAACAGTGGCGGCATTTGTTACATGTTTTGATGAAGTATTTCATATGAACCGCAGAAATACGCTAACCTTTTGTCTCAACCAGTCCGCAAATTTTGGGGAATAAACAAGATGAGTTAAATGTTACATGCCTACATTCCTTATACATTTAATGAACTGTGTTCATAATAAATAATATGTACGTAACCGTTTACCCTTAAACGTCATAAGGTCTGGAAAATTTCCACGCAAAATAATTTTGCGTACTAATCGTGTTCTCGGTGAGAGTTCGCACAGGCTCTCAAAACCTATGATTATCGTTGGGAAACGCTGGTCATCTATTTTCCCACCTATATAATACCTGTCTAAATATGGATTTATATTGTTCCTGAAAATATGATGGAAACCGCATGACCTTGATGACTGGTAACATGGTGGTATCCGATCGGAATTTTGCAATAGAAATATAACCCTGGGTTTCACCTGTGAGGTCACAAAATCCATTCCCATTTTACCGATGTATTCGCACTTCCAATGAGACTAAGAAGTTCAGTACTTACTGGCTTTACTACTACAAGGATTACATTTTATGCTTCATTTACCCTGAATACGCTAAAAACCAGTATGTTATATGAATAGTACTTCTGAAAATGAGCATGAAATTGGCTTCGTAATAAGATCCTAATCGACATCTCGGATATAACCAGTGCCACATATTCCATTCTCCTACTGCAGATGGAGAAGTGTGGTATGCAACACTGCGGGAAATCATTTGTCTACCATATGGAAAATGATAAATTTGGAAGGAGTGTGACAGGAGTTTACGGCAAACCTCTCTAATCTAAACCAATAGAAATAAGTATCTCTGGCAAAAACCAAACCACATAAGACTCACAGTTACTTGTGAGTAGTGGTGTGGAGTAAGTGATATTGATTTGAACTTAAAATCCTAGGGTTTTATAATCAACCATCCACTATAAGTCAAATGTGAATTAATGACTTAGTGTTGTGGGTTTGTGACCATATCGCCCGTAGCCTGTTGTGAACGCCTGATTTCGTGAGAGGCTTTCGAAAGGAGTTAACAGATATTCGTATGTGTCCATATTTGCAGTTAAAAAAGGCCTTCCAGAAGGGTTGAAACGTAGTCAACCGAAAATTGTTGTTTTTCGTTTTCTCCCGCAGTGGCTAATCCAAACATTCCTATACGGAACTAAGAGCCACAAGTTAACCTAGTGACTACCACCGAAGAACACACCTGAATAAACATGAATTGGCGATGCGGTTCAGCCTTGGTATTAGCTGGTTGAACCAATGATAACATACACATCTTCCACGTGATAGGTTCTCAGCTGAAAGCACTACCGATGAGTGCTATTAAGAGCAAAACTCGAGTCTAGTGCGTCCGAGTGTATGGTTAACTGGAAGAACTGAGAGTTGTGCTTGAAGGTGAAGTTTGAGGGATGATTACTCCAAACCAAGATCCAAATTCTTATTCTTTTGGCCAAAATGGGTTTTCTACTTTTGGAATACCTGACCAAAGTTGTGCAAAAAGCTAAGGAAACTTCACACCTGATACGACGTTCTATATCAACGTTCGTATTTGAGTGCTTTTAAACGAAGAACAGCACAAAAAATGGGTAAATGGCTACTCATTCACCCCAAAAATAATCATCATATACTCTTCTTGACAGAATTTCAGATATGAGTCAAAGGCAAAATAGAGTGAGCGATTAAGGCAACGAACAAATAGATTTTTTGGTTGACATTTTCTCTTTTAGTGCACTGCAAGTGCCCAGGACGTGCTTTGCTTATGTCCCAGAGTGACTAGCTCATTAGGCAGTACCCATAGTAGTAGTTAGTATTGTAACAAGAAAGAAGTAAATGGTTTATCTGTTAATACGTAGGGAAGTCGTGCGCCCATTATACCTTGCGCAATGAGAAATGAGCTTATTTTTTCGGTTTACAAGTCATATTCAGCTGTCACGGGTTTGTCGGGAAAGCCTACGTTTTGAGTGACCATGTAAGTTATGTTCATCGTCTTCCGTAAATTTTCGCTTGAAATGTTCCGTGGGTATATTTGATTGATATGAGCCCATCAATCGTTCTTTTGCTACCTTAAATTCTGAAACTGTTTCCTCATTTATGATTTATAATACTAGTGTAAAATGAAATGAACTCAAACTGTGCTCTGCTATATTTTTCAATGGCAATTTTCAACTAAACTTTACAACGACGGCAACGCGTAATTTCAAACTAGTTCGCAGTAAATTGCATTACAACCATGTTTTTAATGGCTATTCGAATTTGTTGGCTTTCAAAAGTAAGACTGTTGACATGCAGTCAGAAATTTCTCGGCTTCAATCCAGCTGGAACGATTTGCGAACATGGTGTGCAATGCTAATGAGTTCCTAAAAGGATGGAACAGTTGATTTTAGCGGATTTTGAAATGCACTACCATTTGGTCACTTCATTCACTCTCATCCAGCTAGACCGGTGTAAGACCCCGGAGTCTGAAAACTTGGATTTGAATGAACAAGTGTTATATATCAAATTAAGTTGTCTATACAGTCATAGCAAAACGAGCAAATAGAACCGAATACTCGAATGTAAAACGAATTTACCTCCCCCCTCAAATGGCAAAATGAGAAATGATTTTATCCAAATACCAAGCAAACTGTATGAAACTATGCATTTTAAATTCATAGTAGGTTCGCAACAATCATTAATCCGTGGTGCACTTACTCTTGACCACAATCTTTAACGACTTGCTGATTGCATCTGATCGGGGAGTATTTGGCGAACATGTATAGGTTGCCTCGTTGCTTTTCGTCACACGGCTGATAGTTAGGACACCTTAAAATCAGAAAAAAACGTTACCAAGGGATATATACATGCAACATGTATTTTCAGCACAAATTTATTCTTATTATACATCATTATCTAGTGAATCATAGAAAAGCCCAATGCTGTAGTCAGGAGGACGTGCTCTCTAACTGTGGTAATCAGCATTCTGAGCGGTTTTATGAAATTTCATGAAATCAAGTGGTTCTCCTAGTCCACTTGGTAGATACCTACCTGCATATTCCGTTGGCCCCTGTTGGCCAACAGTTTGGTATCATCAAGGTGCCATGGTTATATCAATACAACTACCTGAAGATAGCCATCAGAATGCGTCGAGCATGTTTTAAGTAGTCACTGATCACGTTATCTATAGACTTGAAGCTATATTTTCCTACCGGGACGGTGTTGTTATGTTTGGTGCAACCAAAAGGAACAGTAGGCGACTACTCAAATAACCGGAGCGTTTCCAGGACACAAGAATGTGCATAGGGATTACCGGAATTGGGATTTCTGCGTTTTATGATTGCCTCGAATGAGTGCCGTAGAAAAAAGGAAAGTGATTCGATTAAGCTCGAGTTGCTGAAGTCTAAAACCACCTCGTGTCTATCGAAGGATGCCTCCAATATTGCAGGTTATTCCTCCGGAACTTTGCAAAAAACGGCCTGATCCTTTTTGGCCACCTAATCGACGGTTGAGCAGAGCTATAATTATCAATACGAGTAATTTTAGTGCACGTTTTACCGATAACATCATTCAGGGGGCTACGTGTCAGTTTCACAACACATAGGGAACATTCAGCATTTTCGCTCAAGCACATTCGACACGATCGATCCAGGAATATCATGAGTAAAAACAAGGATGGTGTTCGATCAATAAATTTCACCTTATGGTGCTTATTTGTCAATACTATTGATTCTGTTTACTTTGTTCCTATAAATACAGCTATGGCGATAAAAATTGACTAGTGTACATTGACGAGGAACCTTGGAGTTTCTTTTTCAGATCAATTTCACGCTTCGATTAGGAGTCAAAGATAAACGTTCCAGTTTGCATTTAATCTGTGATTGCTAATATTATGGGTTGAATTTTCTAGAGCAACGTCCAAACTGACACCTAGGGTGACTCAACCATAACATAGATCAACCGACAAGGTGTAGGATGTAATGTCGTCCGTCTCGGTTGAGAGTGCCACATTGTACATTAGTTACTTAATTAAATGTCAAGCGTGTTTGCACCTAGGATAACTGGATAATTTTTTAGGCTACTTCGCAGTAACCATGCGCAAGGACTGTTCTTCACGAATGAAACTACACTTACCAAACTGGCTATCCTGGTACACATTCGTATCGGGCGCGTCGAAAAACCATCGTGTGCTGACAATCGGTGCCCCCTCATAAATGCAAAATAAACTCAAATTCATTCCCTCGGGCACCGTGAACACTCGCGTCGGGGTGCTGGAAGTCAGTCTGGTGCCAGCACCATCGTCCCCGAGACCTTTGCTCACCGCAATGGAATTCAAATCGGACACGGCAGCCACCTGTGCCGACAGATGGTCGGATGTGGCGGTCCCAGTGGGCGAAGTAGCTGGTGATGCAATCAAATGACTGTATACATAGGAAAGTTCCGGATCGTCAAAGGAGAATTGTAGTCTAGCTGGAACTTTGACGTGTGGTTCTGGAACGGGGTAAGCATAGTGAAGGTAGCAGAAAAGTAATCGTTTATTGCACTATTATTTGTAATTCTCACGATTATACTGTACAGGTTGGATGGTAATAAGGTTTTGTGAATACAGCGCATGCATCTCAGTCTCTTTGAATTAAATTCAACGAAAGTCTGTATAGACAGTCAATTTGGTGCCGCATTTCAGCTTTTAGGCGAGGTCAGTTAAAGGATGTTTCTATCGAACCGATGGTTTGTAGAACCTAGGCATCATATAGATATTCCATTGAACTACATATGGAATAACAGGTTTCTTTCTCTTGACGGACATAGGGCGATTCCCGTCATCATGGTGACTTACATATTGCATTGACTAAAACACGAGAATACAAACTGAAGTTACCTTGTTCTATCTTCCCTGAAAAACCACAAAACATGCACAATACTATTTATGGTTTCTACTGAGAGTATTATTGGGAATTTATGTTTTTCTAAGCACATATGAAGCACGGCATGTCGTAAAGACTAACATCAGATTATTCCCAAGAAATTATATACAACTTTCCTCAGACTATGTTGTGGGTGAAGCTAACGAATTTCACTCATCTATTCCTCTTTTCAATAGCTTTCCATGTTTGATACCTGACAAAATGGCAAATTATTTGCTGACTTGACATCACATTATGTCCCAAACATGTTTTGATAAATAATTTTCCATTTCAACTGTTTGAATGGTTTTCACTGAATTATCAAATAGAAGAAATCTTGATGCACTTTGTTCTCTTAACGGGACCAAATAGTCAAATACTCAGCGGTCATCATGGAAAACGATCTGGACTGGTTTTCTCGTGTTTGAGATGGTGTTGTAAGGTTTTACCCGCTTTAATGTGTTCTCAATAAATTGAGACTTTTTTCAGTTTCTTTTCAATCAGTTTGACACTCCGTCTGTTCATTTATTTGTTCTATGATTCTGTATTTTGGTTTACTCGATCACTCATCCGCACCTTGTTCTTGTTGAAAAGAAAAAAACATTTAGTTGTTCTTTGTATCCGCTCGGTAATTATTGTCTTGTTTCGGTCACTCCCATGAACTTGTTAATTGCAAAGTTGTGTTCTTTTGTAACACCAAGTCAAGCACTTTTAGCCTGTTTAAAATCATTCTTGTTCATACCAATCAGTAGAAAGAATTATCAAGGTTCGCTAGGCTTGTTTAAAAACAGAATGATAGCTGAACTCAGCTAGTTCGGTGAACACTCAAAGATTGCTGATGGTATGTTGTTTTTAACTTGTTAGGCTTGCTACACATTTTCTCATTTTCGTGAAACAACGGTTACCAACGTCCAATGGAACTTTATACATAGGCGTAGGGCTTAGGATGGAGTTGGTCGATTTGTAAGTTCGTCAAATTGGCGGCCTTGAAGTGCTGAGTTGAAGCCCCACCACTGTCCCTCATCTTCGCTTTATCTGTGTTTCCAAGGCAGCCTTTGAATGGCTGCCTCCCTCTGCCTGAAACTGTACTGTACATTTATATGATCAATGAACAAAGGAGTAAGTGAAACATTTTTACGGTAGCAAGCTTCAATTAGCCCACTCAGTTGTTAAGAGGCACCAGGCACTCTTGAGGGTGGGCTTCACTCCTTGGGAGATCCTTGATTCCCCACAATTTCATGCATTTGCATGCGATGGAAATGTTTGTGATGACAGACAAAGTGCACTAGACAGCTGTTTCGTCTTGTTTGGGACTCATCAGGACTCAAACCGCAAAATTGTGGGGAATCAACGATCTCCCAAGGCGTGAAACCCACCATCAAGAGTGTGTGGTGCCTCTTAACAATCGAGCTGGCTAATCCAAACTTGCTACGTTAAAATTGATCAGCCATTCGTATAAGGTGATGACCGTCGACCGTGTAGCTCAAGGGTAAGAGTTTGAAGTCCTAACCCGAAAGTTCTGAAAGGGGCACAAAAGGTACGCACTGCTGACGAGTCCCAAACAGGACGAAACAGCTGTCCAGTGATCTTTGTTGGTCATCAAAAACATATTCATCGTATGTGAACACATTTTTCATTTGTTAAATAGGCAGTTGTATTTCGTTATTACCATTCAGGTTGTACCATTCGAAACGTAGATTTATTTTTATGTTGTTCTAATTATAAATTTGATGGTTATGTGATTCTACACACTTCAGCTTTGTCTTTCAGCCCGCCCCATTTAGCCCACTCTTCAACACCCGGTTTGTAATTGACCCCACATCAGGAAATGATTGACGTTGAATGATTTGACACGTGCCAACCTAGCTTGCCATGTGTCCACCGCACATACCTAATAAATTGGCTCCTAGTTATGCCAGGTTTTGTGTGAAATTCGTCACGGTTGAAGTGTTTGGTCGACAGAAATACTCAAAAAATTCTTACCTATAATTCGTTTTTCCGATCCATCAAATAATCGAGCGATTGGGGCTCTCTGGATTGAGCCTAAATTCTGAAAGAACCAGTGTTACCAGACTCCAAGGCCTGCTTTTGGGATCAAGATACTTAGTGTTTGTCATAGGTGATAATCACACGAACCGGTCACGCTTGTTGCATGTTACATTAACCGCCTTCAGTAATATGTGCTGTTGAGCTTGGTGTGGATGAACAATCGATATCCTGCTCGGTTTCACTCGCTTCGCATAACATTGTTTCCAGCCATTCCGATTTAGTACTCCCCGCCACAACTAAATCATGGGATCCATGGTCATACATGGTTTAGACATATATGGCCTAGATTAGCCAGGTCATGATAATCAGCAGTGCGAATTTTATTGTGATGAAGTGGTGAGAGTAGAACTGTTAGACAATTGTTAGATGTTTCATATTCAGGATTTTATATGACTAGTATATACCTGTTGACATCATGGTGAACTGACTTGAAGATTTCCAAGATGAAAACATTAAAAACATTTAAACATTTTAATTGCGCGTGCGTGATGAAATTGACCTGATCGATTTACTGTTCACATTATACAGCTAAACTATCCATGCATCACGCTGGTATTCACTTAACGAGCTTAATAATACGGAAAGTGGTAGAGTGTTCTGGCTGCCACACTGTCTCCGTCCAAACTAAAAGCCATAAGTGGATCAGTTTTCCTAGTTGTCTGGTTGAAATGCCGTTTTACCGAGTGATGAATTATGGTGATACATTTGAGCTCGGATATGTATTATCACCTTTTACTTACTTTTACTTTTGAGGAGGTTAAGTCGGCTTCTTGGATGTCTCTAATGATGGCGGCCCAAGCATGATGGTCGGTAGTAAAGTTGACGCACTGTGAGACCCAGTTCTGATTCAAGTTACGAATTTAATATACGGATCGGGGGTCCAGTAATTCAAAATCCGCCTTGATCGTACTGCTCCGGGTCTTCAGTTGATCACTAAGTCGGCAATGCCATTCACGGCACGGTGCGGGGGCTACAGCCGGTGTTGTAGCATTTTTGAAAGTTTGTCACTGTTCAAGCAGCGCCGTTGCAACTCATCATTGTAAATTCGAACTCTCCAATTTACTTTCAACATATTGCGCAAACACCAATGATCAAAGACTTCGTGCTTCCTTGGATCTTGCACTCTTAGCGGCTAGGTCTCACAATCATAAGTGAGGATGGGGCGGATGGAAGTCTGATTGACCCAAAGCTTCGTGCTTGAGCTTACTTCGCATCGATTCCACAACGGTTTGAGGAGTTGCAGGGAGGCTCTTTCAGCTCTATCTACACGGAGTTGGATTGCATCCTTATCGTGGTCGTTTGGTCGTTTGGTTTG